TTTAATGTATGTACCAAATTTGAACGAAATCCGTCCATGCATAACTGAGATCCGGGTCCGGAATGGTGAAAATGTGCGATTTTGATGCATTTTCGGCCTTAAAATGGCCGCTATTCGGCTATCGTTAATCGGATCATGAAAAAAATGCATGTGCATATGTCCCATATAAGGTGTGATGTATGAGTGAAGTTTGAAATTAATCGGTCCATGCATGTTCGAGATACAGGTGATCACGGACGCACGGACGCACGGACGGACGGACGCACACAGGGCAAAACATAAGTCCCCGTTTTCGGACTGCGTCCGAACGGGGACTAAAAAACTGAAAATAATAAAGTCAGCTACCCCGGTACTTCAAGATAAGGTTATGTACATGTATTAGTAAATCAAATATTTCTCAAATACTTATATAATCAATTCAATAACAATTAAATTTTTGTTTGGTTGACAGTTTTGTTGTTTTTCTTTCTTATTTTGTTTGTTTCTCTTTCTTCACATCTGTATTGCATTTTATTCAAAATCCTAATAAGGATACTAACGCGATAAAGATTATTATTATTACATGCATTACTAGTATATGAACATAACATCTTGAATATTTCAAAAACGGCCCTCTTGACCCTTAATTTGAAAATGTCAAAAAATGTACCACTATTACATTTTAGACATATTTTGCAGATGTTGTGGGTGCCTCACATATTCGTTGGTAAGTTCCTACTAGTGACACACAGGCTTTTAATCGGAGTGTCATGAATTATGCTTTTATTTTATTACGCTTTAAATTATGCTTTTATGACTGTTTCGACTATTGGAAAAACCATTTTTAACACTATTATATTTATTTTTACTCACAGATGGTATCTGTAGTGTAGCAAATTTATTATTATAATTATTATACCATTTATATCATTTACTGATGACATCATTATATTGATGATATATGGAATGTTTGAGTCAGAATTTTATTTTATTTGTTGTATTTTACGACAGATTTTAAAGGTCAAAGGAGAGGGACAGTCTCATTTCATTCGCGTGGACAATATTATTTCATCCACATGGGCAATTGCCACTGAATGAAGATGCTGATTTTGTACGTGTTTTCATCGCAGAGTATTCATACGCCTATAGACTAGATTTCCAGTATCTGTCCCCATGTATATGGTTGTCATTCATGTTTGTTATACTGCCCTCAACGATACATGTGATTACACACAGGAACATGCTGAGTCATAGTGGCGGAGTTTAGTCACTCTACTAGGAGTAGTAGTTGTTGTAGAGTAACTGTGGGCGGAGTGACAAAAGAGTGGAACCGAGTCTAAGCCACACATAGGGATAAAACCAACGTAAAAAGTAAATCGCTCTAAGACAACTCTTGCATATGCACAGGAATAATACTAGATGTATAACTTAGCATTAAGGTATAAGCCTACTCATAAATTAAAATATCAGGAATTTATTCCTTTTTCAATAAACTGTACTCCAAGGCAGTATAAGGATTTTGACCGAAAAAAAGTTGGGGGTCACCAGCCTTTTGTTTGAGAAAATGATGGTTGTATTTTAGTGGAAAGTCACTATAATAACACTTTTACCATAGGTTATGGCAGAGATATTATGCAATATCTCAAAATCTAGCCTGGTGACATAGGCTGTAAAATCATATATTGTTAATGATGGAGTACTTTTTGTTGTTATTTATTATTTAAAAAATCTGGGTTTTAAAAAGTGTCAAAAAATGCAATTTTTCTTTAACATTGTGTTTTATAGAATTGTTCTAAAAATAGCAATTTTCAAGAAATATTAGGACACATTTCTCAAACACATAATTGTAATACACAAAAAATAATGCTATTTCATTGTACCATGGGACATTAGCTTCATGATTGTACATAATAAACTAATGAACATTGAAAATAATTGGGGGACGTGAATATAATATTTACAAAAACACAAAATTCATTCGGTGCAGGTATTATGAAATATTGTTTAAAATTGGCCTGTGAATTACCATTTATATATTCAATGTTCTCTGATACAATGAAATGAACATGCCCAGAATTTCAATTTTGTTCAGTTCTGCTTATGGATGCTATTACACATACATGTACAACAAAGCAACATTGAAACCAACTTGTCAATCAAAATCATTTATTAAAATAATTTACCCAGTAGCACCTGCAAATCAAAATGCAAATTTGTGGTCTCATTACCCTTCATGCAAATTATTTGGTAAAAATCCAATATTGGGGAACCACTTTCATATTCATGACAAATCAGATGTTAGGGGGTTTCCTAGTTAATAATTAATCCACTGTACAAATAGTACAGAGTCATGGACAAACCAGTGTTCACAAATTTGGGTACTGTCTCATTTTGTTTGATGGCACTTCATAATTTGTAGAGCTTTTAAAATTTCCACATTTTGTTTGTAGTTAGCCGCATTTGTAAATCATTTGTAATACTACCGCATGTTCCTAATTTCATCGTATCAAATTTGCATTTCAAGATCAAGGGCATCATGTGAACATTCCATGTTCATAGCATCATAGCAAGGAATGTGCATGTATATGCTTTTAAATATTTAAAAATAAAGTATGGATCAATTTAATAAAAAGTCATTATGAAATTTAGTGTTTTATTACATAAAAAAACTACATGATAATCTAAAAATGATCCATCCTCCATTCCCAATGAAAAATTATGAATTAGAAAAATAGTTTCTTTTGGCACCACAGTCACAGTACTGATACAATAACTGTATACAGTGTACAGAGTGAAATCTACAACAAGGGATACAATAGCGTGGTAATCATGCTGACTATAGGAATGCTTGTACCAAGGGTGTTAGGGA